CATCTTTGACAGAAAATTCATGGGATAAAATGTGAGCATGTACATTAATAAAAGTCAGAGTACCACAGCATTTCTGGACTGATAAATAAGACAATGAAAACATTTCATACATGTAAGATTGCCATAAGGAACAAGGAGAAAAATTGTCCTTGTTAACCTCTGAGGACAGGACAAGAAGCAATGTGTTTAAATTGCAGCAAGGGAGGTTTAGGTTGGACTTAGGAAGTTTTTCCTTATCTGTGAGGATGGTTAAGCACTGGAATAAATTACCTAGGAAGCAGTGGAATCTCCATCACTGCAGATTTTAAAGAGCAGGTTAGACACCGTCCTGTCAGGGATGGTGCTTGGTTCTGTCATGGGTGCAGAGGATTGGACTAGGTGATCTCTTAAGGTCCCTTCCAGTCCTACAATTCTATGATTTCTAGGATTCCATATAGAAGGGATGTTTCTCTACCATTTTACCTCCCACCTAGCATTCAATGCTTTCTATTCCTTAAGATGGACTTGCAGCACACTAACTGGAAGAAATAGTGACACTATTTGTCCAAAAACAGTGCAAATTAAATTACCTTCAGGTCCTATGAGAGTCTTTTTCCCTAGGTTTTTAATTAGAAAGCCTGGTATAAGAGGAAGAGAAGTTGAAGGTGGTGAATATTTGAAAGGGAGGTTGACTTGATCCTTTCGGTTTCCAGGGTTGCTAATAGTGGGTAATATTGAGTTATGTTGATGCTCTCTAGTTATGTCAGGACTAGGGATGTAAAATCCTGTTTAAAATTTTAAACTATATGAGCCCACCACACTATACCACGCCACTGGCAGGGGGCTGATCTGGCCCAGCTAGGTAGGAGTGCCCCCCACCTGTGGTGCGATATGGGGTAGGTCTAAGTAGGTTCTCTCTGGTCGGGCCAGGCGCTGATTGACCGGTAACCCCAGCAAGCATGCCGGTAGGGCAATGCTTACCGAGAACCAGTTAACCCTTTACATATCTAGTCAGAGCACTGCTTTTAATGTATTTTCAAGTTATGTCATGGGCTTCTATTTGTTCCATTTGTATAAATGCTAAAAAGCATCTGAATAGAAATCCTTAGAGAAAATACTTTTACATAGTGTCTAAGTTGTATTAAGTGAATGAGAGAAAGAGAGAGAAACACAAAGGCTGTGTCCAGACTGCAGGGTTTTTTCAAAAAAAGTAGCCTTTTTTCGAAAAAACACTTCACCTGCGTCTAGACTACAGACGCGTTCTTTCGAAATTAAATCGAAAGAACGTTGCTTTTCTTTTGACAGTGGTACTCCTCATCTCACGAGGAATAGCGCCTTTTTTCGACAGTGCTCTTTCGAAAAAAGGCGCTATGTAATGCAAACTGTGCTTTTTCGAAAGAGAGCATCCAGACTGCCTGGGTGCTCTTTCGAAAAAGCGGCTTGCAGTCTAGACGCTCATTTTCAAAAGAGGCTTTTTCGAAAGTATCTTTCGAAAAAGCCTCTTTCGAAAGAGTCTTGAAGTCTAGACGTAGCCAAAGTGTAAGCACATATACTTGCTCTGCATATAAATGTGTATCTCTGAAATCCAAGTTTCTTTTAAATTATAAGTCTCTTAAAAATACAAGTTAATGATTTATTGAAAGCAAAATAAGTTAAATATACCAATTAGAAATTTAATGCTCTGTTCTTTGTCTTGAAAAGGTGTTTTATTAACTAACATAAATCCTGTATGGAGATTTCAAACCAATTCATGTAGATTTAAAAACTTATCCACATAGAAAAAACAATCTAACCACTGTTGTCCTGGTTGTGACTATTTTCTTCCACTACTTGATCTGAGGAAGTGGATCTGGCCCACGAAAGCTCATCATCTAATAAACCATCTTGTTAGTCTTTAAAGTGCTACATAGTCCTGTATTTTGCTTCAGCTACACCAGACTAACACGGCTACATTTCTATTACTGTTGTCCTTTGTGTGAGAATGTACTTTATATTGGAAATACAAGTAACTCTGAAATATGTAACACCCAGAAAATATACCACTGACACTGAAACAGAGGGAGGACTAACTCTGAACACATTTGAGTCTATATTAAGCAAGATCTTTTGTTTTTTTGTTTAAACCAAGTGCTCTGTAGTTCACACAGCAGCCTGAAATAGAGTCTTTAACTCACAATTCCCAGGTACAATAGGGTCTCTCATTTTGGCATCATAGATCACCCAAGATTCTGGAGCACCAATGAAAAACATCTACGGTGCTTAAGTTTATGCACAACAAGATGATTTAACAGTAGAATCAGCTTTAATTCTCAGTTTCTTGGCTTTGGTGGGCTGAAAGAATTAGGAGTCTGTTCTGTTAACATATAGTGATATTGATCCCTGAAGTTTTATACATCAAATGTATAATAAGCCTTCATGTTAATTCTATAGAATGTTCTGCATCTTTGGATAAGCCCTTGTAATCCTTTTCCTAACCTTTCCCTAACCAGACCATGTATCAAAGCCAGTGTACTACTGACGGAGAAAGACTGGAACAGACAGCATTTGAAGCTATCAATGCTACTCCTTAACCAGTCAAAGGAGTCAGTGTTGAGCAGCACAAGCCATTTTCTCCCCTTTGCAGGTGCTAAGAACCTGCAAATACATCTGAAAAGCATAAATAAATTAAAGGAAAGGGTTCAGCTTGTATTTATGTAACAGAAAGCTGAGTACTACTGACGGAGAAAGACTGGAACAGACAGCATTTGAAGCTATCAATGCTACTCCTTAACCAGTCAAAGGAGTCAGTGTTGAGCAGCACAAGCCATTTTCTCCCCTTTGCAGGTGCTAAGAACCTGCAAATACATCTGAAAAGCATAAATAAATTAAAGGAAAGGGTTCAGCTTGTATTTATGTAACAGAAAGCTGAACTACCAAGCAACAATGGGCATCAGGTAAATGTATCCAATACAATTTGAAGACATAATTGAAAGCATTACAGCCTAATCAGACATCTAAAAGCAAAGCATGCTCAAATGAATTGTCTGTAGACTCATTAGCTAGCAGCTATTCCATTACAATCACACATAATGTCAGTAGTGCCCTGAGCCTATGCCAATGACAATAGCATAAATTTTGCATCTCATTTCTGTGGTCATAAAATTAATGATCAGTTTTAAAATACTTCTTTCTAAAAGTTATTGCACAAAGAAAAGACATGAATGTGTCTCTGTTATATAGTCATGAGGCTAATTAAGGAGTTGATGTTCATTAATATTGTTTCTTGTTTCCCCAGAACAGCATTTGATTTATCCTGGAACTTTTTTTTAAGTTTAATTAATGATTCACTGTTAACAGTTATTAAAAAAGAGTCATATTCTCTCATTTCTGCAGTTTAACTCACCACTTAGGCTTGACCGTACAAT